CTTGCAGCCATGGGAAGTGGCAGAGGGGGCAGGAGGAAACATTTTTAAATGCTTACTGTTACAAGTAGGACAAATTTACTTAAACCACAGACGTTTATTACCTTGCTTTGTGCCTCTACACCCCTTTGTTTTCTTTGTGCTGCAGCTTTGCTCCCAAAATAGAACCTGAGTGAGGATTATTTTATAAATCCCTATACACAAGACAGGAAGGAGATGTGTGGATAAAGTGTTCCTGACTTACAAACTTGTTTAACTGGCTGTAAAACAAGCATCGTTCTTTAACGAGCAGCAATATTTTTATATGTTTTGAAAGTAAAAAGATGACTGAATCTAGCAAAGAAGCCATCTACCAGCTCTTATCTGAGCTAACTGTATGTAGGATTTCCCCCTCTGCCTGTGTTCCAGCAGCACTCCTCACATCATTTTACCTGTGGAAGCATTTCCAGGTACAGCACTAACTGCTTGCGCTACAAGCACACAGAAGAGCCTGCACAGAGCTTTGCCCAGCTATAAATTCTTAAGTATGGAAGGAGTATTTCAACACAGAACTGTTAAATCCTTACAGAGGAACAACTTCCCCTTCACTGTGCATTACCTGCCCCTCTCAAGGGAGCTGTTGCTGATACTGATTCTATTTGGGAAGAAAGCATCCAGTTATCCTTTGATAGTGATTAAAGGTGTGTCCAAACAGTTACTGTGCAGACAAGCCTGCACTGCTCGCACTGAACCAGAAGCCACATAGCTTTGGTTAATGTGGCACCAAGCCCCAGAAAATAAATGCAGAGGGCTCTTAAAGGTCAGGGAGGGATAGTGCTAACACAGATGCAAGACTTATACAAGTTTGTTCTCTGCTGTGCTCCACGTGCCTGCAAGGCAGCCTGTAGCTGCTGTTTTTTACCCTCACCCATGAAAGCCCTTAATTTACAACACATACTGCTTGTCTCTTATCACTTTTTCTTCTTCCTGTAGCTCAAAATGAGGACCTCAGGAAATGCATCAGTGTTACGCTTTTGGACTGCCTACTTTGAGTGTACTTTACAATGAGTAACATGTAGCAGAACCAGATCCAGAGAAAGTTGCATTGCTAGCTGCAAGGACTATTAAAATTGACCTCAAAACTATTACGTTAATGATGCTAATTGCAGAGATCCCAGAGTGGTTGCAGTGACCCACAAAGACAATGTTAAAAAACACACACACAAAAAAATAAAATCCCTAAGCTTCAGTTTTTTTAGTAGTTCCTTTATTAAAGCTACAAAAACCAAGTTAAAATTACTACAACATTCACATACGGCTAGCTAGTTTCTAACTTCACTGAACAAGGATCAGCGCCCGAAAGGGTATGGAAACACTGACCGTTTCATAGTCGCTAGCTAGTTTAAGACTAAAAGACATCTCATTAAGACCAAGCACCATGTGGTAGCTTGGAGCTGCTCCTCATTCTGTATTGGAAGAGACAGTGCCCAGATCTCCAGTGCAAAGTCAAAGTTCTTTCAAGATCACGGATTAAATCGTACACCCAACGTGTTCACAGCTCAGGATGAGGAAGGCAACTGGAATGAGCAACCTGGATAAATCAATTCTGCTCACAACAGAAATTCCAAAGAAGAAAGAGCTTTTCTCACCATCGTTCTGATACGAGACATCCGCCCAAGTCCCACACATACAAATATTTACAAAGAATTAGACACAATCTAGGAAGAACTAGTGTTTGATTCACTTGCTGATGCCAGCAGCTGTCAGACAAAACAGTCATCAGGCCTATTCCACAGCAAGAGATCTCAACACGTTTTTAAGTCACCAGCATCTGTGACATTAAAGAAGTGCAGCACAGCCCACTTGTGGGGCATCTTACGGGTTCCTCAGTCAACCTCCTCTTTGATAGGGGTACAACCTGAGAAGAAGCTGGTATTGCTGCTGAGCACTCTCTTCTTTCTCTTTACAAATGGTATCTGGTTCTCTTGGGACTCCTCATCTCTCATGATTGGGGAAGTAGCAGTGCTGGGCTTCTTGATAAATACATCTTGGTCTGTAATATCTTTCAGGACCTATCAGGAAAGCAAGGAAGATAATTTTGAAGTTGGTCACTGCTCTAAAGAAGGCCAACCAGCTGTCACTAAAGCTGGGAGGCAGCACATATAAAAGTTCCCCAGCCAATTTCAAAGGAGTTGCTGAATTTCTTTATTCAGGTCAAAATCTAAAGATCAATTCATGGGCTGAGCTAGAGAAGGCAGCACTAGGAATCAGTATCCAGAGGGTACACATGAAATTAAATGAATTAGTTTAGCTGAGGCAAAGCTTCATCTGCCAAGTCAGAGCGGCTTAAGAACGATACTTCTAGACACAGACAGATGCAAATCTCCTAGTTTCCCAGTTCTGTGTCTCTTCTATTGCTGGAAGGTGCAGCAGGAAAGTAAGGGATGTGAGAGTTAGTATAGGTGAGATCAGCACCTCGGCTCCAACTCCTTTCACGCATACTGCACAGAAAGATAGTGGTGGCATAGTTTTCACACTAAATCGTAGCAGTTCAGCGTGCTCAAAACTTAAATATCAGCTGGCCTGAGAGCTGTGGTGTCTTCAGAAGTTTCTAGCAGTTTATGTTCTTTGGATTTTGTGTCCATCGCTAACCCTAAATGAGATGTACACACGTTCAGAACCACCTGTTCTTTTTCTCAGCTTTGAGCAGTACCTTGGTAGTTGGAGTGATACACACAGGTTGAAAGAAGGTCTCTCCTGCAGTCACTTCATTGGGGTCTTCTAGTTTGAAGGATCCTTCAGAGTCTCTTGTTTGGTCCGCACACAACGTGGCATCCTGAGGGGCAGTACTATTTTAAAGCACTTTTACAATATCCAGCCATCCCTTCCCTACCAATAGTATTTCTTTAATACTAGAGGTCTCTAAGCGACCTCCTCTCCAATTTCAAAGCAATTCATAGAGGTATCTGCCATCATGTTCTATCAGGTAATTGGTTTCATAGAACAGGGAACAATTAAAGAATTGCTGCTTCTCAGCAGCACAGCATGGGAGGTCTCTGCTTCAGATGTCCAAGATCCAAGGGCAAGGAAGACCTTTCTAGCAAAACTAATGATCATGAGTTCATCATGCAACTTATTCCTTACATACTTTTAAAACACCTAAAAATGAGTTAATCTTTTTTGCAATTTGAAGCCAGATACAACTTTTATTAACTAAGTGTAAAAAAGACTTGTTTGTCCTCAGATTTGCGTCTGACAACTAGCAGTGAGTGAATCCAAATGATTTGAGACATCGCTTGAATTTCTACGCTTTAGCGCAAGAGGCTTGTTCCGCAGTAGAAAACTTGGATTCAATTATCACAGATAAACCACTGAATTACCATGATATTTACAAAAGTTTCAGAGAGGTAAGTACGATTTAGCTTGACAAACTGTGCATGCATGCTAGTAGCATGTTTGCTTATGTATTCACCCAGGTTTGCTTAAAACAAATCATAGGGTCTGGGTGCCTAGTGCAAGCACTTTCACATCCACAAATACAGCAGTACTCACCGGAAAGCCAGGGTCTCTATTTCTGCATTTTGTTGAGTCACAACTACAGCCTTCAGTGCAGCCCACCTTCTGCCTCCTGCAGCCACACTGCCTATTTCCACATCGGCCTTTGCAGGAACACTAGATAAGAGAAAGTTCTGTGCAGAAACAGCTTTGGTATTTTACAAACTGCATCTAGAATTGCACAGCTATGAACACCTGAAGCAAGCTGAAGAACAGTACTATCTACAAGCTACCATGAACCTGCTATTTCACTGTCAGTCCCTCATCTCAGGAGAGGGAACAAAAAGTCCTCTGTCTACCTCCTGAGCCATGTCTTGATCGAGTAATGCCAAAATAAGCACCTTTGATTTTACAGTCCCTGACTTTAGGTTACCCAAAAGGATGCCAGTTTCAGCATCAGTTGAACAAGCTAACATTTACGCACAAGAGCACATCCGTATAGCCATTCTTAGGGTCCTCCATCTAGATGGAAGTGACCTGATTTAACTAC